AAAAAAAAAAAAAAAGAATAAAGGAAGAAATGCAGGCAGGGCTCTATTTTCAGTAAGACGGTCAACAAAGGAATGAAGTAAGGAAGCAAGCCATTAGAATGTCTGGGGGAAGAACATTCCCCTAGGAAGAACAGCTAGTGCAAAGGCCCGGGGATAGAAACAAGTTTAGAATGTTCGAGAACAGCCAGAAAGTCCATGCGTCAAACAGGAGAATGGTAGACTATGAGACGACACCGGGACTAGGCTTGTTTCCTTCCCCAGTTCTGTTATGTGTAGCCAGAGTAGACAGGCTGGTGATGGTGAAAGCACCCCATGCCAATGTAGGCTCTCCCTGACCACAGTCTGAGAGCTATAGCATTGGGCTGCCTGCCAATTTGGTGAATTAAATGTTTACGTTGAGAATGGGCTTCATAGTTATTTGTCCCAAAGGGTAATAAAATGTGTAAGACTAACCACCGTGCCTGCTTTCTTTAGGGAACTAAATTTTAGTGAGTGAGGGTCAACACTAATTATTTTATGGGAGAACAGCAGACACTCCTATTGCACTTTGACTTAATAACTACGTAGACCTCAAAGGAACCTTAGACATTCTGCCCAATCCATTCATTTTTCCAGTGAGGAATCTGAGGCTAGGACAGGTTTCTAAGTTGCTAACAGTCATACAGCTGGGTTATGCCAAAGTCAAAACTAGAGCTCAGGCCTCTTGAAACCCACATGGCCACTGCTCACCTAGAGATCATCACAGATTCTTCTGATGTGGAGAGTGTGGGTGTCCTTAGCCTAGGTTTAGAGATTAATAAATTAAAAAAAAGACTTCCCTGCCCACCAGGAGCAACTCAGCAAAAGGCAAAACTCAGAGACCCAGAAAGACAAAATGAATGCTCTCCTCTCTCCCCACAGGTTGTTCTATGGTTGACCCCCCACGCTGCTCACCTGGATCAAGGTCTCTAGCTCCTGGGGGCTCACACAGACATGATCCCGAAGGAATTCTGCCTTCTCCAAGGCAATGGTATTCTTCTGGCTGCTCTCAAAAGGCTGCTCCAGTGCCCGGAAGACGAGACCCCCTGTGACGAGGTAGACCACCACGACCACAAAAATGGCGACCACTGTTTTCCACTTCATGACAGTCTGCAGGCCCCCCTGGGAGGCACCTTCCATTCTGGCTACCACCGTGGCTCGGGAGGAGATGGCGAGGCGTGGGGCTGGGTAATGCCCGTTAGTGGCACTCTTGGGCTGACAGGCAGGCGCCGCTGAGGGAACAGCCACTGAGGAAACAAAGGTGGGGGAGAGGGAGAGGGGAAAAGAGAGTTTGTTTATAAATACGAAACACAAAACTTGTCAGAAACAAAGCACAGATGTCTTGCTTAAGCCAGCTTTCAAATTTGAGGATTAAAAATGTGTTCACCAAGGCTGCGGTTAGGGCATCGGATCAGTTGCTAGGTGATGATTTGAGTTCTAAAACTGAACCCCACCCCAGGAGTTCTAGTTTTAAAAAAATAGTATAAATTGAGCTTGAAATATTTATATTTTTTTCTACAAGGGTCCAAATTTAAAAGCCATCTCTCTATTATTTATAATTTAGCTCCTCCCTTAGCTTCTTCGTTTAAACAAAAGGTAAGATACGCGATAAAAAGCCGTATTTGAGAAACAGAAATATTGTTCAACTTAGATAGAAATAGGAGAGAGATATCTAGTTACCATGTCCAAGTACTGAAGTCTAGGTGATACCAAGAGCGAAGAAGAGATGAACATCTAGCAAAATTAAAACATTCTCTTATCCAGGGTTATGGGGACTAAAATAAAAAAAAAAAAAAAAAAAACTGAGAGCACTATGAGGGAGAAGCGTCAAAAAACAGACACGGTAAAACGAAAGTTCA